CGGGATAGAGTAAATAATATTTTGAAAAATAACTTGAAATTGTATTGTCAATATACTGGGTACCAGACATATATTTATTATATATGTTTAATATTTTGTCTAGATATTTGTTTTAATAGTGTGAATTTATTCTTTTGTACTATATTCCACTGAAGCTATTTTCAAAATATTTTATTTGGTTGAGGTTTAATTAGAATTTTAATTTTAAAAGCTTACAATAAGTTCAATTTAAAATAATATTAATCAATATATTTTTTTTTTATAGCTAAAATGACGTGGAGTACGTATTTATTAATTTGCATTTATTGTAAAATGTTTGTGTAACCATTAAGTTTTCACCATACAAATTAGGAAAACATATTTTACCAAACTTTAAATTATACAAACTGGTATAAACTATAAAATAAAATGGGAAGTAAAAATGAATTAACAATTCAATATTTTAATTCGTGTAATGAATGCATCGTGCAAGCCAATAATGTTTATATTAGGCGATTTTAAGTTGTAAAAAAAAATAACTGAATATTATATTGGTACACATTTAATATATTAAGCTTAAACATTTAATTTTATTCCCCGTTTGAATGGAAACAGTGTACGATATTATATTCTACGATATGGCGAAATGTATCAATGACAATAAATAAATATATCGGAGGACCTCATACCTTTAAACATGTTTTGAATAATGTTAGTATAAATAGGTATCTATTTTAAAATAATGATAAAGTTAAAACGCCGTATGATATTTCTTGAGTAATTGAGTACTGTCGGTGTAACATGTAAATGCGTCATTCACATAAAAAATTTTGTTTTTCATATTTTTTAAGTAATTTTTAATTTTTTTAAACTTTTAGTTATCTTGTTTTATAATTGAAAATATCGTATATTGGAAAATAAATATGTATATGGTCCATATGTTTTAGACAAATAACTGGAGCCCCCTGGTTTATGACTAACAACGCACTATATAAGGATCTAAAAATCTCAACTGTCAATGAAGTAGCAACTCGTCACTACAAAAAGTTTCACTCCAAACTACGCCTAAACCAAAACCCTCTTATTTCTCGCATGTCCCCTTTAACCATCCCCAGCAACCCACCTAGAAGATTAAAAAGAAAATGGCCAAGAGACGCCCGTGCCTAGCACAACACAAAAAAAAGGTCTCCATTGAGAACCCATCATTATTAGGAGGTACTGTTGATGTACGGTTTCCCCCCCTCAAGTCATTCAAGTCATGTATTATACTACCTTATTATCAAATTTACTTATTGTACTACTTGTTGTATAGATTGTAAATTGGCATTAAAAAAAAAAAATAATAATAGTGTAGAATGTAATAAAAATCAAATTTAAAACTGTCACAGTGTAATTTATTTTTTCAGATTTATTACAAGACCAAAAGAATAGTATGTATAATAACTAATAAGTAATAACTAATAAATGTGTATTCAGAATTGAAGGTAATTTTAAATACTGTCATAGTAACTATGTAGTTGTTACAATATATTCGATGTCAAATAGAGGTCTTGACTGATCGTAAAATAAGAAAATGGTGTTTGAATTCTATTACAATTGCTGTTTACATTGAATAATTTTATTAAAATACCTAATTAAATACAAAGTTATAATTTGTATAAATAAATTAGTATTGTTGCACCCCCTCACCCATCACCCATACACACACATATTAAATTGTTAGTAAGTAACTGAAAAGGCAATCTAGCGGTTCTCAAACAGTGTTCCGTGGAGCCCAAAGACTCCGAAATAGTGAAATATTAGATCCGTGTTGTCATCGTTTATGTCGTTTGTGATTTATTTTAAAGCAAATGTTTGTCTGTGTTCCAAATTTATATCATAATATAATACATGCGTATTGAATCAAAATCTCTGAGTGTATGGTTGGAAGATCTGATGTAATCAATTAACAAATCAAATAACAATTTATTTTGCAGGTAAACTGAATGCTAATCAATTCTGTGAAACGAAAAATCCTAAATATTTTGAAGATCTTATAAAGAAGTATATTGGTTAGGAATAAGAATATATTTAATTTATTTTCCTGTTTTTTAACATATTGTTTATCATGTTTATTACTAATTAATTTAATGAAATGCGATTTATAATTATTATACCTTAAATAACACATTTCAATCTTAGTTTAATTTGTATTCCATCTGCACAACTACATTGTAACACAATTTTCCTCTTTTGGTTTATATTGTATCATTAATATTGTTATTATTTATACTATTTTTAATGTACATCCTTCTATATACAATTATGTATGTACTTTAAGCAGTTCCTTTTAAATAAATAAATGTATTATAATTATATAATTAGTTCATTTTATTTAATATTTATTTAATTTAAGTAGGCTAATTCTAAAATGACTAATAGTCTTGTGACTGTAGACAATTATTTTTGAATTTTTCCGAAGCAGTTTATTAAAAGATAGAGTACGTTCATGTAATCGTTGACTCGTATTCTACCCTTCTAACTCTTAAAGTCGACGCTGTATTGAACACTGATTATGATGCTCTGTATCAATCCATGATTGATTTAGTCTAAAGTGTATGTTCTGTGTATTGACTTAAGTACTTAGCCGTGTTGGTATTAAAAAACATTTAAAACTGCTTGTAGTCTTAAAAAAATAGATCTCGCCAGATTCAAGTCATCTACAAGCAGTTGTGGTTATAAGGAAATCTCTCCTCTGTGTTTTAATTTCAAATATCTATCTAAAAATTCTTTCAAAATTTTAACAACAGTAATTCTAAGAAATTCTGGCAATTCATGAACAAATATGGGTCCAATTACAAATGTATCTCCAATGTAAATTCACTTAATAGTAATTTCTGTTCTGACAATAAGTGACTGACGAACTATTTTCTTTGTATTTTTCCTCAGACTATTCATTCTTTAATATTATATGATATTTAGTTATAATAATTATTGAACATATTGTTAACTGCACCAGTAATTACTAACTTCAGTTATTTATGAACACTTAGGGATATTTTCATATTTTAATACTTCTTATATTATCTATCTATAATTTGGTGTAAGCTGTTAAGGACTTATTATTTGTGTATAAATTTACTACTTAAGGAAGTCAGTATGTAATGAATGTTTTGAAGAAATCTAAATTAAAGTTAAATATGAATTTTAATTAATTATTTAGTAGGTACTTCATACGCTCAAAAAATTAACTTGAATTTCTTTTTAAATTTTTTTATTGTTTAAGGTAGACATACTTTTGAGGAATCTTGGATTACATTTTTAAACATTAGATATTAAAGGAAAAATGTATTTTGCTTAAAGATATCTCTTTGTATATTAATAATTGACTAAAAGTAAAGTATAAATATAAGAAGTTTAAAATGTATTAAATAGTATACTTTTAAACGTATAATATCCAAAATAGTTATTATAATTATGACGTAATTGATTTTAGATTCTTATTTATTTTTAATTTTTTTTGTGTCTGTCATCACTCTTTGAGACAGTAAAAGTGCTTCAATTTTCTTCAACAACAACTTTTCTGGTAGGAAAGTGAATCTAGTTGGTGAATTCGGGAAATCAAATTCCCAATAGTAATAAAACGCTACAAGAAAAACAAACAAAAAAATAAGGAAAAACGGGGAAATTTTAAGTAAAACTAGTTTTCGAAAAAATTGATTTTGGTTTTTATTGCTAATCTTAAAAAATGACGGTAGATACACGACATTTTCACAAAATGCTAGTGTTAACATTTTTTGTACATCACCTTACAACTATCAAAATATTTTGACTTGTTTTGAATTATTTATATGTATATGCAATTTGTGGTTACCTATTATTTGTTTTTTTTAAACTAATGTCGTTATAAAATTTTTCGCTAGGTTAAAACACTTGTAAATGTAATACAAGGTTTCTCGTAAATTGTTGTTAGTGGAAATTAAAAAACGTGTACATTTTATATCTAAGATTTACAAATTTAATACATGATTTCTTATAAGTTTGTTTATAACTTAATCAAAAAAAAAAAAATTTGGTCGACTTCTCATATAGCGATTTTCTGATTATCTTATTTTATTGTAATTCAAAAACGAATTACTGAAGACACTTAAAATGAACACCATATTATGTTCATTTCATCAATTCATATACTTGATAAAATTCATTTTTTTTTCTTTTAATATCAATTAAACTTTATTGGTTTAGTCAAAAAGCATGAAAATTGAATACAAGGCTCCCGATATTATTTTGTTACAATATCAATTAAAAACTATTAAAAATACATATGCACGATAAATATTGAATATTGTTGATAAATTAAAATGATTTTATACATTCTTATAACTGTTAAGACATCATACAAAAGCATTATGTGATATCATATTATCCGGTTAATGTTAACATTAACCAACATTTAATAATGGCGGGTAATGTTAACAGTTTTCTAATGTTGTATTAATGTATTATCCGATTAATGTCCACTTTATACAAATGTTAACATTACCACTTTACCAGTAACATATACATTTTTGAAACTAAAAAATCACCTATGTATTTTTTTATGAACAGAAGTAAAAATAACATAAAGCATACAGAATAGATATGTTATATAAAATATCCTTATTTGTATTACGATATTGCCTCTTAAACTATATTTTTATTTGAAGTATTTACGTAATAGTTAATAGTTTTGAACTACCAAAATATTTTTAAGTATTTTTTTTTTGCTATGGTAAACGGAGGCCCCACAATAATTTTCTGTTATACTCACATTATTTACACAGACGTTTTAAAAAATAAAAAACATGTTTGACGTTCGATAACAAATGGAAAATAATTTTATTATTTTGTGTGTTAAATAAATAGTCAACTTATTGTGAATATTATGTACTTAGTGGTTAGAAGCTATATGGATATAAAAGAAATCGGGAAAAATCATTTTATTTCACCTAATGTTAAACGTTCAGTGTTCACATTATTTTTATTATTTCCTTATATTAAATCAAAATGATTTTTGTTGAGAATAGTTTAATGACGTTTACAATTTTAATTGTAGCAATTTTTGTTATGCCAGTTACTTCGAGTATTAAAGAAGCAAGAAGTATGGAATAATTAATTTAAATAGTAGAACTAGTCATAATATCATTATAACTTTATTTGTATAGTCATTTTTTATCGTGTTGCTATTGATTAACAATGATTTGTAAATTCTTTTATTCAAACCAATTATTATTATGTTATTATATAATTCAAGAAAAATAAAATGTATGCTTTTTATTAGATATTAGTTTTATAGAATACTAGCTGAATACCCAGACTTCTCCCGTGTGTATTTTTGTTTTTTTCATATTTATAATATATTCCCATAATTTCTCGGAACAATTCTTGTCTACCAGACGGACAAAAAAGATAGGTTACAGGTAGCTGGAAACCCCGGGCCGGTATGAGCTCGTGACGTGCAGCACAATACGTATTGACGAGGAATAATTATAATTGTTAATTACTCCACTAAAACGCAATATTTTTGAAAATTCTTTCTTATTGCACCGTAAAAATATGAGAAGAACCTCCATTCCAAATTTCAAGTTCGTACATTGCGTAGTGTTTGAGTTACAGCGATCAGTGACTAAGTGGTATTTGGGTTTTATATGTATACATTACCTATGAAGTCCGTTGTAATTAATTGTTATACTTAAAGATTTTTAAAAAATTGTAAATTATTTGTTGAAAGAAAAAAAATTGCATTATTTGGTCATTAAATTTGTATAAATTAATCTCAGTAAATCTAGCTTATGTTTACCAATGTATTATTACAAATTTAAAAACTCATATAATTTGATTGACATATTATTTGCTTCAGTCTAGTAAAATGAATTAATATTATCATTAATAACTTTTTTTTCTCCTATATATTAAGCTTAGAACATATTTTATAATATTACAGCTGTTTAAAAACTGAATAAGTTTCAGTTGGGTATAAAAAACAATGTTTGAATTATATTATAATGTATTATTATGAGAAAATTATTTTATCGTCATCTGTAGTAATTAAACAAGATGGACTAATATAAATGTATTGTTTTATTTTTAGGTGCATGTCTAAGTAATATTATGAATTCATAATTAATAAACTAATAGTACCTACCGAAAACAATATTTATGATATTCAGCATAATTAAAATAATTCAATGGTTGATGTATTATATTGTGTATTCTTAAATTAATTTTGAGATTAATAACCTTTATAAAATTTAAGATTTATGAAAACCATAAATTCTGAATCTGTTTTTCCAATATTGGCGTATTTTTCCTTTTAAATGTCGATAGTATGTCGTAGGTATTCATAAATAATTGCATCTATTGGAAAAATATTTTCAAAGGTGTGCAATTACATTACCGAAGTAACCTGAGGTTTATAAATAATAAAATACAAATTAGTTTTTAATAAAATAATGTAATTGTAGTGAAAAACTATAAAATATACAAATATATAGTATTTTTAAGATTATAAATAGTTTATTAACTATATAGTTACATACTCGAATAAATTCATGAGAAAATTTCTATAAGGAAAATGTATAAATGGTTTCTGTTTCGCAAAATGGTTTTCGAGAATAAATCCTTCACGGTTGAATAAATTCACAAAACGGAAATATAATCCAGATATTTTATAATAAACGTTTAAAAGATTTGTTAGTTATTAACTACCCACAACCATGGTTGGACAAGTCACTCAATTTGTTGTAATTGGTTAAGTTACTGTAAAATGTAATTAGCCACACATGACTAACTTCTTAAAATTGACGGTTAATTCGTCAATTTAAAGTTTATTAAAAATAAATTTAGTGTCTAAGTTTATAGTTAAGTTAATTCAAATTCAAAAGTAACTAGGTAGTTAAGTTAAAAAGTTTAAATTAAATTAACTTTTTAACTCATTAATACCAATCCTTGAAAATGGTTAATTGTCCCATAAAAAGTCTTCAATACTAATAAACCATCATTAATATATAGTTGCTTTGCATTAAATACACAATGTCAGTACCAGGTTGTTAAACAAATAAAAGAATGTAAAAAGAAAAACAATCCATACATATTTAATAAATCAATTATAAACTATATGTATATAATACAATATTTAGTAACCCATTATTGGATAATTAGTGATGAGTAACTATTCTAATAATAACTATAGTTGTATTTTGTATATCATTTTTAATTTATAATTTTAAAATTTAATAGTGATTCTAGCCCAAGTACATTATTTTGATGGTAAATTTATAGTAATTAAATGTAAACTGTTTATGTACATCTTTTATTTTAAGTCGATTAGATATAACTATAATCATTGATTTTATGATCTTACTGTAAATTCAAGCTATAATACTTAAATAGGTTCTTATTTGAAAAACTGAAACTTAAATTGCCACAGGATCATCCTTATGTGGTACGAAAACTTTCAATGATTCAAAAAAAGGGTCTTCGAAAATTCCAAAATAATACATTCATAATTTAAGCATACTTTATACTCGTAATTCACATTTTAAAGTATTTCTGATGTCAACCTCCCTTTTCCTCAAAGAATACTGCACCATATTCAAAATTACGCACACAAAACGATGTGGTGTTGCTTCCGCTTCGGACATCGCCTAATCATACTGCCGTCAAATGCTCTATTTCATTAAAAAATTAATTTGAAATGAAACAAAAAGTCAAATTTGGCTAATGTCTCTAATGGACACTCATCTAACAAATAATATAATAATTATATATATTATAATTAATAACTGAGTGCATGGGCCAACTGCCAACTGCTTTATATATACAGCAGAACCTCGATTATCCGAACTAATTGGGACCGCACCTAGTTCGGATACGCAAAAGTTTGGATATTGGAAATTTAAAAAAAAAATTTAGAGTTACATATTATGTATTAATTATTAATTATTTTCATAATTAAATATTTATTATTTTTATTAATATTTTATTAGAAATTACATAAATATATTACATTATCAGAAACATTATCATACATTATAAGAAATACATTACATTTATTTTATTTACATACCCCTAAGTAATATATTTTTTTGACAAAATTATCAATTTTAATTTGACGATGAGACGCTTTTCTGCAGCCAAGTCTCGCAAACGTTTAAGGAGAAGTAATTGTGCTGGACAACATTCGGCCTGTTTTTCAAACCACTGAAGACCAGTTTCAAATGCAGCAAATGCTTCAGCAGATGTTGGTCCTTTTCTCGTACTCATACTTTCATCACTACTGCTGTCGGCACTTTCTTCATTTTGCAACGAAGAAATGATTTCATCGCTATCTAATATTTGATATTCTAGATCATTTACATCAGTTGCTAACCAATCAACAGCGTCATCATAATTAAAGTCATTAAATCCTGGAATTTCATTAAATAAATCAACAAAATCATAAAGATTATTTCGATCAGTTTCTTCTTAGGCTGCTAACTCCATAGAAGCAACCCACAACTTCTTCCAAGCATTTCGTAAATAACGATAGTAGTTACGATAAATTCCATAAACCGGCCGGTCGTCCGGCCGGATACGAGTTTTCATGTTCGGATACGCTAATTAAAGTTCTGATAATAGAGGGTTCGTATAACGGAGGTTCGCATAATCGAGGTTCTACTGTATGTATATATTTATATAGTTAAGTATAATAATAGTAGTCTATGGTCAGCGGTTGCCGTCTAGTTTTTTTTTATAAAGTTATAGAGTTAGATTGTGGTAAACTGACAGTGACTTTTTTCGTCAGTTCTATAGTCCTCTACTTCGCTGGATCCTTAATATTTACGAAACTATGAAAAACATTCATTTTTAATCACTTATTAAACAGTTTTATCGATGACAATATACGAAGGTTGAAAGTCTATACTAGAGACTTAATTGGAGACTATCAAAGCCGCTTTATGAGAAGGAAATCTACCACGTACTAATTTTTACTACCCCACAACTTTTAAAAGGTAATACTAGTATGGAAAAGTGCATTTTTGCTTTGTAGAATTCAAACAAGCGTACCACAGTATTATCAGATTACATTTATGGGCAGAGCTGAAAGAATTTAACATATCAACCAAATTAATCAAGCTGATAAAATAGAGCAATAGAAAACTTTAGTGTGAAATAAGATTTTCAAATACACTGTCAGAAAGTTGTACACACTTTATAACACTTATACTATACTAGTCAATCAAGAAACGAAATTATTTACAAGCATCGAGAGAAGCGAGTGATCAAGCAGATTAACGAGTTAACGGATATGTCTTTAACGAGTAACAGACTTAAAATACTAAAAAACTAACATAAATAACAAAAACAATATGCACAACGCTCCTAAAAATATAAGAAGGATGTAGAGACCGTCGCTAAAGAGTGAACTAAATATAGAAAATACTGTTGGTGGTTCACAATTGTTGATGCCATCGGTAAATAGTAAATAATAAATATAATTAAAACTAAACTCGATTGAAAAACAAAATATCTTAACATAAATTGTATTTCTAAAACGAAACAATTATAATTTGAAACTCTAAACTCCCTTATAAGTTACAAGCTATATTATCCTAGCCCGTAGTGACATTTCATTACAAAATGGTTACAAAATGGTTACAAAATCTTGCGAAATTGTTTCGTAAAAAAAAATTATGAACATTATACTGTTATAATATAACATAACACAACTATATTATAGTGAATTGTGAATAGCTTATTTATGTTTATTTTAGCGAAACTAGAATTTTCTATATTTAGTGATTAGATAGGTACATGATGAAAATAATGATTATGTTAATGAGCAATAACTTTTAAATAATTATCATAATAAATATTATAATTTAAAGTGTTTTTTTTAAAAAAATATTAATGATGTTGTCTAACTAAAAATGTATTTTAATTTTTTAAAGGCGAAAGTTTTGGTGAGTTAATTTGTATCGTTTTTTCAGTTTCATAATTTCATAAATTACAGAGTGGCATTGCTAAAATATAGTTTTGTGTTCTGTCACAAACCTATAAACATCTACTATGTTGTCAACTAAATACTACTTCTATATTTTTAAAAATTACAATAATAAGTTAAAAGTGTATAATTTTTAGATTCTCTATCTAAGGCGATGACACACGATTAAGCCCGTCTTGACTTTTTATTTTGTAAGAAATACAACATTATTTCTCTCAACAAATTAGCACAAGTGCGCTCATTTTACCTTTTTAAATATACAAAAAAACGCAACACGATTTGGGCCCCGTGAAACATAGGCCTTGTTAACTTCTAACAGTCGGAGCGGTAAACTCAAAGTTGAAATTTCGTATATTAAGTTCGAGTGACACAGTGATACATAACAATTAACAGTAAACTACATCTCAAATTTAAAATTCGACTACAGTCTACAATAGTATAGCTTGACGCATATCTACTGATATCTAATAATAAGATAAATTAGCAATACAAAATTGTCTTGGCTATTAGAGTCCTTACTACTCGTATACGTACAATATGATAATAATTACTAAAATACCAGGTTTATGCCTTACACGAAATCGATCTTGAAAACTGTATGTCTTTATGTTATACTCAACGTCCAACATAGATATTGGAAAAATGCGTTTATGAAGTATATGACAAACGTTTAATATCATTTGAATAATGCTCAAAACTCGAACTTTTAACTTCAACTCCGACTGTATTTTTAATAGTGTACTTATTAGAAAATCGTTAGAAGAGCACGCGGTCTATTTTTCACAAAACGTAATCGTGTTGAATTTTGTAGGTAAAAAGGTAAAAAGGGTGGCACAATAGTGCTAATTTGTTGACCTCAATAGTCAATATAGTTGCCTTCTTTGCACTTGAAAATATAGGACGGGCGCAATCGTGTTACAGCCATCAAAGGAGCGATGCATCTATTGATTTTGCAATGCTGTGTGTTTTTTTTATTTATTTGTGACGGTCCACATATATACTACAGTAGTAAAATCGCTTTCTTTCGTGCCGGTAGGAAAATGAATTCAGTTGGTGCTTTGAGAAGTCAACTAACCTTTATAACGGTTTTATGTCATGGTATTCAAATTTAACGTATTCGTAACATCGACCTCTAGAGTCTAGAGACACGTAAATCGTTGTCTACTTGTCTACGTTTTTCATATTATTATTAATAAGTTTTACTCAAATTAATATAAAAATAAAACCTTAAACACAACTATTTGCTTTTTTTTATTTAGATGAATATAATAGTAAGTCAATTTTTGTATGTTTTGTTTAACCTATTGTGTACTTGTATACTTACTATAGTATTGCTTTATGTCATACTATTTTCAAAGTACCCACATATGAATATTACGTATATTTAAACACGTTTATTATATCAATTAATGATATTTTAAATTTAAAAATTTCATCCAAATTATACAACGAATTTCTATAGTTAATTATTAAATTTTTATCAAGAATGGTTTAGTAAGTATATTTTTGTTTTGTTTTTATATTATTAAAGTATAATATTTTATTCTGTGTGAGATTTCAATAGATTGTATTATAATATTAAACATTGATTACTTTGTCCATTAGCGTCAATATCCATTTAAAGATAAAATAAACATTGAAAATTAAAGATCAGAAACGTCAGGGTACATTTTGTTAGAAAAGACTTTCTTTAGGTATGAGAAATTCTTGACACGTTCAAATAAGCTCTTACGATGGTATAATTTTTTTCCTCCTTATTCTTCTTATTTTATAATCTGCCATTGAGGACAAACCACTCGTTGTTATTCAATGTTGCCAACTCTCGATTTATGTATGTTAGATCTTAGATGTATGGTTTTATCAACGTAATTAATTTATGGGGTAGTTTGAAATTAATTAGTATATTCAAGAGATATTATCTGTGTATGAAATCACTGGTATTCTCGAAATCGATAAATACATGTGCTTCTTTATAAAAAATCTATTATTTCTCAACATTTGTTTAAAAAAAAATATATGGTTCGTAGTAGATCTGGCTTGACTAAAAGCTGCCTCATAAATGATGGTTCTCCAAAATATCTTCTGCCCACGGTTTGTTTCTATTTATTATACCCTTGGCCAAAACTGATTAACGTCTAATAGGGGTGCCTTAATGGTCATTAGGTTTCTTATTTGCTTTTCAATTCCTCCTTTTTTTGGTTCCAGGTAGATTGTATTATTAGATTTCGTATTTTCAAATATTTGGTGTAATATAGGTCAAAATCTGATTATATTTGTTCATTAATTTATTTGCTATATAGGTACTCTTTATATGTTATTATCGTTTCATCATCATTTCTCAAAGCGTTGGCGGGATGTTTTCGGTTTTTTTTTTATCGTTGTTCGCATCTGTTTCATTTATTTGGACGACCCACTTGTTTGCATCACTCTTAATTTTCTTCTGTATCCTTTTGAAAATTATATACTCAAACTGGATTTTTAAGGGTTCATAATGTCAAACCGAAATGATACCATTTTAACTTAACTCGTAGTCTACCTAACACAAGAAAGTGATCCTAATCAGTGCCTGCTCCACGAACGGTTCTTACATCAAAATACTATTGATACATCTGGCAATTAAAAGAACATAGTCTATGTGACCATGTGGCTGATGTGTTGCTTATTTGTTGATGTCGACTTACGAAACCCATCTATTAATCATAATCTATCGATGGAAAATATTACGCAAAGATGGTTATTAATTAATTAGTATTGTCGTTTACAGATGATCACAGTTGTACGTATTATCTACTATTTTTATTAACCATATCAATGTAATTGTATTGGTGTTTCCGTTTACTTTGACCAACTACGGGATGAAGAGGTGTGGGAGGTGTCTGCTCGCGTGACCGGTGGCATTATTATGCTATTCATGAGTATTCACTGTGTAGTATTTGGATTTATATGTTTTTAGGTTTTTTTTTCTTAATGGTTGTTATTGATGTTTGGTGGTATTTTTGTATTTTTTCGTATTAACTGAAGTTTTATGTGTTTCTTGAATTGTGGATATATGTTATTTGGTTGGTCTGGAATAAAATATTGAAAGTAAAATTTATTTTTTATAATATATACAAATACAGCAAAATTGGGGCTGTACGGAACAAGAGCTCGCCAAGTTTACCGTTAGCGGCCTTAAGATCCTGATAGAATTGAGGAAGCATATCAGTTATAATAAAAGTAGTTTCGTTATCACTAGGGCAGTGGACTTGTAGGATTTTCATATTTGTTTTGCACAGTCACAAAAATAGCAGAGTATTCAACAAAGACGTTTCATGCTTTCCCACTTAGATTAGACTTTCCAAAGCTTGTTTTAAAATTGTATTTGCATATAAATCTATATTTTGAGTTATTTTTGTTTTTAGCTCATTATTCTTCGATTATATACATTTTGAGATACATTTTGAACTTATTTAATAATTTATCAATTTAAATCCAAAAAATAAATACATTTTAATTTGTATAGTATAATATGGTTTTGACTGGCCCCAGCACACTCACGTTTTTGCTAGAAGCCTGATAATTACACATACTCGTAATTTACAGAAAACCCTTTAGACACGTATTGTAGTACTGTACACATTGAACTGTATCTATTGAATGCGCATTTTGTATAAAATTCATACTACCCTAGAAGTCAGCCATTTTTTATTCTTCTCATGAAATAACCTACAACACTTATCTGATGCGATAATGTTTGTTATCATAAAAAGTGAAGATACCGCACTCAGTTAAAATATATTAACCGTGAATACCACCGGTATATTAATGACATTTGGTAGAAGATAAGCTAGTAAAATAAATCTATGCAAGAAAAATTAGCAGATTGTTAATCTTGTTAATCTCTAAAATTGGGCATTGCACTTTTTTATTAGAATGTATGATTTTATGATTGTACTAATGTGTACTGTTGAGGTTTCCATTTTCTCATCTTATTCGTGTTATGTTTGGTAACAAATTAAACCAAATATTATAAAAATATAAACTTAACCATTTGTTTAATGTTTTTTTTATATATATATAGCTTTTGTAAGATGTACGTACTTTTTTTTCTGATCGTATTGGGGAATATTAGTTAATATTAACACTATTTAACTATAAATGTAAATACCATTTTTTTGGCTGCATTCGAATTGCATATCAAATCTTAAAAGGATCTGTCCGATCCGGAGAGAATCCTCTAAGAGATGGCATTCAATTTGGACTTGTTTTTGGACATCTGATTCGTATGAACCGATTTTTTCTTCGAGTCAAAATGGTTAAAAAATTAATACAAGATTAAACAGAGGTGTGCTGGCCGGGAACTAAACAATAATAGGCTGTGTCACCGTTTGCTTTGTCCGCTGCACTCATACACCGACCTACCTAAGTGTATGTAACATGTGTGGATGTTATGTATAACAACTGAAGAGAGAAGCACCGGTTCGTCGATCAAAATTCTGAGTGCTATTGTGGGATGGGTGTATAATATAACTCACAGTGTTGTCGGTGCTCGGCTGACCAGACTCTACCAAGACCTATATAATAATAATAATTTCACAACAAGAAAAAAAACAAATAATAATGTGCCAAGATGGCAATTAGCACACACTAAAAGAATCCAACATAACGAGTGATTTTCTTACAAAAATATAATATAAAAAATCTGCGCTCACGGCAACAAAACATCTAACAATAATAATATCATTTTACTCACGATTCTCAAAATATAATAATATGCTAAACAAACGCACCTTAGTGGTGATAAACACCCGTAGAAAATGCAAAACTTTGAGGCTATTTGAACCGTTGAAAATATAAAATTGATTACTGGCTATTTGCGCCTGAGTACATATTAACGAATCGCGTCAACTGTGTGCGACAAACTGCCTATTTATTTTTTTTGGAATTTATATTTTTTACATTCCAAAATTTTTTTATATTATATTATTAATAAACAAAAAATAAAACTACATTTAAAATTAATTATTATTTAGCTAAAAAAAATTAATAGTTTTCATACCATAACGTGTTTTAGTCTAATTGTTTCTTTTAAATATGAATTTAAAAAAAATAAGTTAATTGACTCTGTCTGGTGATAACCGATTTCTTCTTTTGGTAGTGACTTGACCAGCTTCACTAAACAAGCGTTCGCAAGAAACGCTTGTTGCTATTACACTTCAATATTTTTTTGCTATCAGTGAAACTACAGGATATTTTTTCTCATTGTATTTCCACAGTAATAATGGATCTTGATTATGAGTTATTTTATCTGCCATACTTTTATATTTATGTAGTTCGACTGGTTAGTCTTCATCAGAATTGATTTCTACTAATGGAATACCTATTTCGTATTCTTAACATTAATTTTCTAGTTGTCCACAAACTGAAGTTTTTTGGTCATCCGATAAAAATTTAAGTTCTTGGTATCTAAGATCAAGAGCTGAAGTTTTTGACAGTATAATACTTATCTGATTTTCTCTTTTCTTCAAATCTTTTCATATTATACATTTTATCGTCTTAACAAAATTTGATTAATTTTCTTTCTCTTGCATGCAATTTAAAATACTCTTTCTTAACCGATCGGCAGTAAACGCAGTTACATATTTTTCACCTCCCAATGTTTCAGAAACTGATTGAAAAGGTTCTAACCCTTTCACCAAATCGTTCATATTTTTAAATTCATCAGACGTTATAAGCCACTTATCCGTTTTTCTATTTTTGGATATTACGTTATTAATTGAAACTAAAGTAGTTAAAACTTATTAAATGTTAAATTTTAATAGCTATAAGTTTTAAAAATTTAAATCAAGGATACTCATAGTTAGATAAAATTGTAAATAAAAAATTTTAAAAATATATAAATACAGTTTTATATATAGATTTTTAAGTTCAAATTTGACAAAATTAGATATTTTAATGAATAAGAAAGTTTTTAGTGATTATTTTCTAATTTAAAAATATTATTTATGAGTACTCTAAACTTTAATTTATATTATCACAATGACTTTTTAAAATGAAAATTAATGTTCTCATAAATTACTAATTTTTTAAACTTTTTTTTCTACCCTTCTAGACACCTACTGTCTAAGCCGTGTCTACTTTTTCAGATTATGTTCAATAAGTTGTATTCAAATTAATATAAAAATAAAAACTTAACTACATCATTTTTGTTTTATGCAGCGTATATGTCAACTTGGGTATGTAAGTATATTTTTGTTTTATTTGTATGTTATTAAAATGTAATATTTTATGTTGCGTGAGGTTACAACGTTGAATTATAGACTATTGTATTAAGGTTAGGTAAGGTTACCTAAACTAGCTCCGAGTACATTTTATTATTCATAGATATTGAATAACAAATATCAGAAGACATATAGAGTTGATATTTTTCGCAAAGTGTTTCTTTGGGAGAACTTTTCCAAAATTGTCACATTTAAAATTAAAATTTCCACTCCTGTTATTTTTAATGTTTCGATATTTAAATATAAAATAAGGTAAACAAGGACATCAGTCTTATCTAATTTATTATAATGCTATAGACATTATAATAGGTATCGATATTGTACATGGTTTGTACAATTTAGATACGAAAATGAAGTATGAATGGGATGTGTAAAACAACTATTTAAAGTATAAATTATATAATATACATTACATACATTACTTACATATTTTAATTATATCATTAGTCAACAAATTTTTTAGTTCTCCAATACTTTACCTGCAACGTATATGACTATATTATTTTTTGCAGATGAAATTAGTAAGTTTATTTTGTGTTTATTTTGTTATTTTTACCACTTCTCTTCTGCACTGACCGGATGAAAAATCTAAAATGTGTTGGAACACACAGTGTTTGGAATTGGTTTAGGTTGTTAATAATTTGAAACACAGTTTAGATGATTAGAATGTCAAATATTTCTAGCGTATGATGAATATTATATTATTAATTGATAAGTACTAAGTTTTTTTTTTTTTTTTAGTAACTTCAAGTAATTCTGCTGAAAATGTAGCTATTAATGCTTCAAAAGAAACTGATTTAACTGGTAACTGTGATGTTAATATTGCTAGCTGTAGTAATGTAACTATTAAAAAAAAAACAAAATGTAATACTGGATAATGTTTTTTCATGTATTTATACTTATTTTTATTTAATTCATATTATGTGTTACTGGTAGAAGAAGACCATAAGCATCATTAATAGTTTATGGAGCATTCATTTTTAATTTAGATTTGACTGATTTGAGACTATGTGTGTAGTATGAAAATTTAGATATTTTAGGGACTGTGGCGTATATATGGTGTGAATAGGCTTAAAGTATATCAATAAGCAAAAACCATCTAATTAATAATCTAAATATTTAAAAAATGGCATTGTGTTTACAAATCATAAGTAGTTTTTATAGAAGTTCAAAAATATTAAAGATATATTGCATGATTATTTTTTTTTAAATATAACTCACTTGTCCGCGTTTTTTTCATTTGGATTTGACTCACTACATAGTGGGATATGGTGACTGGAGACTTAATGCAGTAGGTACATATAAGCATACACGCTTTTCTATTGCTAAAGCGTGACACTGTTTTAATGAATCCAATAAAAATTAAAATAATGAGTGATACATTACTAGAGTTGCAAAACAATATGAATATTTTATAATTCATAACTATAACTTTTATTTTATTACAGTTAAATACAAAGGTACGTGATATTTATAAACATGAATAATTTTCGAATTTTCTACATTTTTTTTAAAATTACTATTTATTTGATTTTTTTTTACTCTATAAAAAACTATAAGATATAATACAGGTATCCTCATAAATAGTTTTGATGAAAGTTCAAAAATATTATACATACATTGCATTTTTATTTTTATGTACTCACTTATCCACCTTTTTTAATTCGGATTTGACTTACTTCATAGTGGCACATGGTTGACTTATAGGCTATATTTCATATATTAATTAATTCATAATTTTATGATGATATTTTATGATTTTCCAGATTATATTTTTTAAATTAATAGACATTGAAGGGAATATATAATATACCTCGTTAAAATATAAATAATAATGTGCATACATTACCTACACATGTTAATTAGTTCATAACCTAACTGACTTAACACTTTACCTGCAACATACATGTATAACTATATTTTAAATTGTACATTATTTTTAAGCAGATCATAGTGGTAAGTATATTTTATGATTATTGTTTTGATTTTTAATTCTTCTCTTCTACAATGACCAGATGAAAAATCTAAAATTAGTTAGACCACACAGTGTTTGTACAATTGGTTTAGGTTCTTAATAATTTGAACTTAAGTAGTTGTGGCTGCATGCTTCTCATACTGCCATAACGTGACACTATTTAAGTGAATTCAAACAAATTGAAACAATAAATTATAAATCTGTCAATAGGTTATTTCGTATTTGTAATAGTGATCTAAATAGAACTAAATTGGATATTAAAAACTGTTTTGCAATCCGGAATACAGTTACGCTAACTGTTATTTAATCTCCTGGAAAATTTGAAATTTATTCTGATATTTGATACTTAGTATATATTTTGGTTCCAAGCTAGCGGCATGCTTCTTACTCGGATGATATAAAAGCCATTTTCCATAATTCCATTCAAAATATTTTAGTATACCTATAGGTAGATATTATTGTAGTTTATTAGTTTTTAATCACGATATGATGATAAATAATCATAAAATATTTATTATTTGTTAATGTTAATATTTGACGGCACTTATTTCTTCTTGAAAGTTTGGTTTTATTTTTTTAAATCATATATTATCTTATATGATTTAAGTATGGTTATTAAAAAAAAAAATGTTTACTTTCCAGCCCCAGGAATGAAACCTATTTTGTTTTTTATTTCAATGGTTATCATTAATTTCATAGTTATTTTTCATTCTCAAAATTGTTTTTATAATCAATAAGCAAGAAAACATAATACTACAACTATTATAGAAAATAAACTTTTCAAATCTGGAATACTGGTTCGACGTTAAAAAAATTAGAAATTTTGAATGAGTGGGTTAAGGACCTTTCCCAAAATGAATAGTAATTGGATCATTAAGTGTATTCAATTTATCCATAACATTTCATGAATATTTTCTCATTACCCTTATAAATTATCACTTTGTATTTTCTTTTAAATAGGAAGATTTAAAAAGTTTTTTCAACTATTAGTAATTATTTTATTCTTTACGATATATTAAATGAATCTTACATGTGTATAAAGTTACAGACAACAATGTTTATTGTATTTACTATAATATAAAATATAATTTGGATGGATATTAATTTTTAAGTACCTTCCTTCATTTTTGGGATTCTTAAAATAAAGGTTATACTCCGGCCATCAGAACATTAGTTACAGTTTTGAAAGATGACGGAAGTAACGGGTCTGAGGCACAATTTATTTTACTGCGTGCCGTGACGATACATGTTGTACCTAAATATAAAAATTATGATGTCGAGTGTTGCCGAACAAACCAAACATTAACGAACCTTTGGTGTTGAGCGATGAATGGGTGGGGTATCTCAAGTTTTGGTCGGAATACGCTATTGCATTTTTGTAAGCCGAAGTGTAATTGTTATTAATAATTACATTTTATTCAAATTAATATAAAATTAAAAAATAAACCACACCTAATTGTTTGCCTTATCTAGAACAATTAATAGATCCTGAATGTATGTAAATTTTTGTTTTGTTTTTATATTATTAAAATTTAATATTTCATTATGTGTGAGATTCCAAGAATAGATAACAGACTATACTATAGTCACTATAGTATTAAATATTTATTATTTTGCCGATTAGCTCAAATGTACGTTTATGGATAAATACAAGGCCGTATTTACAATTTTTGGGCCCTAGGTCAAATATAAATTTAAGCCCCCCCCCACCAAAAAATCCAGTAACGATTTCAAGCCCTGGTCTTAAGAAAAGGGGATTATTACTTTTTAGTTCAATCCTTGATATTTTAACAGAACAATATTATGAATATTTTATAAGTAATGACTTAAACTTTTATTTTATTACAGATTTAATAAGTATGTTATCGGTTATGTTTTAAAATGTATTTAGAAGAGTAGAATAGGAGTTTCAAAACGTCAATCAATTAATATAGTCAAAAATAACAAGTTGAGCACGGCTCTTCTATGTACTATGGGGACAAGACAGATCTTATTATTTATATTACTGTCTAGTGGTCGTGTCAATATTATGATACAATATATAAATATTCAATATAGAAGATGCAGTGTTTAAAAATCGCATCTGGGCTCACAGAAGAATTCACATATCTGATCATTATCTATTCATCTTCAGCATCTCACCTGACAAGAAAGTGAATCTTATTAGTGCATTTAAGGTGTTAACATGTAAAATTCACTTTAGTTTTTAAAAGTTTACGGAAAAACAAATAAAAATGAATTTTTTCACTAATCCAATTTTTGACAAAAGTTATTTAATTTTTAAGTGAAATCCAAAAACTAAAACTGTTAATATTTTAAATTGTCATTAAATATTAATGTGACCATTTTCTATAATTGATAACATTTTCAAAATATTTGGACTCGTAGATACAAAGTCTCGATTATTTTTATGCGATTAAAGTTTAAATTTTGACAAAATTCCTGAAAATTCAAAAATTTGAATATTATTTTTCAGTTAGAAATTCTTTATAAGTTGTATATTCGTATCTAACATCTGAACAACTCCCCCCAATACTTCATTGTGATCTAGTTCTCCGTTATGAAATATTTTGTAGAAAGTAAATATTAGATCATCTCCATAGTATTTAGATTGTATACCATAAGGTACAATATAAGATATTTATTAAATAATATGTATGTTACCTATTTTATTTCTAGACAATCGAAGTAAGTGTATTTTGTATTTTAATATATTTAATTTTGTAATTTAGTTCATCTTATTTGTGTCTAACTACGATTGCAACAATCCTCAAATTTTTACTCATTGAGTAGTATTATATTATGCGCGAATCAATTAGCTGTTTATTTAGGGAGGTTGTCACTCAATATTGGTTTTAACTATTATTACATATTCACCATCTCTATAATATGTTGATTTTGCAGATTCCTTGGGTTCATAAACTATATTAATAAACCAAGTTTTTTTAAATGTTTAAATATTTCGATCGATTTCCAATTTGTTTAATCAACTGTATGTTTTTAAAGAGTTAGTGTATTTTGCTATTAAAGTATTGAGAAGGTTATACCTTTTTCACCAAACGATTCAGAATAATTGAAAATTAACAAAAAGGTTACGGCTAACCCTTTTTTGGGTTACGATTATTACGGTTACCATTACGATTGACGAATTTACGCGCAATGTGTTGCCATATTATCATTTATGTGGGTTTTGATTCAGTAAGGTATGTACAAATAAAATGTGTTGTTGCGTCACCACCGCGTATGGTGCTGCATCGGGTCTAGTGATGTTATAGCTTATGAAGATAAGATTAAGATATCGCCGTTCACATGAATGGAGGTATTAATTGTTTATTTTTTGTATGTGACAGTTGTCATCCATCGATTGTCGTGGCTTGATGTCATTTATGAGCATAAAATGTATACTTCTTTATACGAATATAATATATATAAAGTATTTGAAAGTGTTTTAATTATAATAAATCATAATAATGAATAAAATCGAATGTTATATCTAAATACAAAATATTTAGTCCACTAACGTAAAATATAACTGTGGTCTTCATGGCTACACGTGTAGTAAGAAAGTATGAAAAAAGTCATAAGTTAAAAATTATAGTTTTATATAAATACATGGGCACTTTCCACCTATTGAATAAAAAACAAGTTTCTAATTCTTAATTTAAAATGATTGCAAACGGACAATTTTCAAGGGGTTCAGTATAGGCAATATTATAGGTAATTGCGTTCGAGTCATACAACTGACGTGTGCATAGTAAATTATCATGAATGTGTGTTTATTCCCTACAAATCAACCGTATCACGCACCCCCGTGCACAAAGCACATTCCACACAGCTAAAAAACGGGAGATTGTAAATTCCACCCGAAATGAACAAGTAAAAACAAGGTCTATGGTAAATTCCGCCCGGAAAAATATCCAAATAAAAAAATAGTTCCACCCGGAAAAATAAATATTTTTAAACTAAGCGTTCCGTGACTGTACGACGCGACGCGGCGCGAGTTATAACTTATAGTATTGGGAAGTCACAAAATGTTCGAACATGAACAAAAAATAAATAGTATAGAAGTTATATTTTGACTCATATTTATTATTATAATTTTTACTATTTTACGATTTTTAATACTTTTATATATATTGCGCTAATTATTGATTATGATTTAATTTTACTATAATATTATGATTGTTATATTTACTTTCATAATTATTACTATTCTTACGATTATACATGTTGTAATTATTGACTTAATATGTGAAATATATATTTATTTAAATACCCACTTCTAAATTATAATGTTAAAGCTATGTTATGTCAGTAATAATATGATTAATACGACATATTCAGAAATTTGTTTATTAACAGTGATACATTTTTTCGGGCGGAATTTACATGTACCTTATTTACCTGTAGTTCATTTTGGGCGGAATTTACATGCGCCTCTAAAAAACTTTATATTTTTGAACGGCTATGACCTCTTAGCAACTCCTGATATTTGTGCACGTGCGTTCTACAACGCACTGCTCTTCCGTGAAAATAACAACAGGTATTTTGAAACATATTATTTTTTCGCGTCAGAATAACGTCAATTCAAAACGATGCTAATGACCATAGTTCTAGATGCTTAAGATCACTAAAAAAAAACAAAACATATAAACAATATAAAAAAATTGTAGTGATTTACTGATGTATCATTTATACCGGGATAGATTAAGTCATCAAACTCTAAATATTTTAATAAATGACTTAAATTTTTATTTTAAGTAAGGTTACCCCTCATATATTTACTATGAATGTTTAATTTTTTGTCTAGGTATTTGTTTTAATACGTAGTATTGGTTTTGTTCACTTTTCTAGTGAAAATATTTATTGAACAATTATTGAATTTTGGCAACGTTGAAAAGAAATCGTGCTTTATAAATCGTATAACTAAAAATGCCGTTTTCTGCTGTACCGTTCTCAATTATCATTTGCCGGAAATCCGGAATATTTGTATTATTCTAGGTCTATTATTTTAATAACTAGTTATTATTAATTATTTTTTTTAGTTAAAATTACGTGGAGTACGTATTTATTAATTTACGTTTATTGTAAAATGTTTGTGTAACCATAACGTTTAAATTTTTAACCATACAAATTAGAAAAGCATCTGTTTACGCTAACCTTCAAATTATACTAACTGATATAAACTGCAAAATAAAACGAGAAGTAAAAATGAATCAACTATTCAATATTTTGATTTGTATAATGAAATAAAATAATACATCATGCAAATCAATAATTATTATATGAGACAATTTTGAATTCTAAAAAATTACCTTCATATAGTAAACACATATAATGGAATATATGAAATTTAAACATTTAATATTATTCACTGTTTGACTTGACACAGTTTATGATCTAATACTCTAAGACTTGATGCCATACATAAATAATTGTTAATAAATATATAAAAGGCCGTTATACGTTTAAGTAATTTTTAATGATTTTGTTATATTAAATAGGTATAATATATTCTAAAATATTGTTGAAGTCGAACCTCTATATAATAATTATAGGTCTTGACCAGGCATCGTCATTGAGTACCTAGGTCAATAGATTTGTTAAATCGGGAAAACGCGTAAATGATTCAATCACTTAAAAAAAAAACAGAAGTTCGTTTTCTAAACTTTTTACTTTATTTTAAAATTTTTTAATTTTGAGTTATCGTGTTTTACTATCAAAAATATTGTATATTAGACGATAAATACATATAACATGTGGTCACCGCTGCAGGACTCATGGTTAGTTGATTCATTCATATATTAGATTCAATACCGCTGTTACTGATTTGTATGTATAGGCTCACAACAAAAAAATCATCTATTCGACTCACTACATCGGTTTACAGTATTGATCCCAGATAAATAGTTTTTCATCTAGATAAAGATAAAGATTTAAAAAAGTACAACTTAAATTATCTATGTAATAGATAAAAGATAATCATAATTCATCAAGATAAAAAGCAGATACATTTTTGAAAATTTAAATTTTATTACATAAAAAAAATGTGCCAATATACGAATATTTAGCCTAAAGAGTTACTGATTTAAATTGTGTGGAATGTAGATGAACAAAAATCGAACTACAAACTGTCATAGTATTATTATTATTTTTACAGATTTATCACAAGACAAAAAGAAAAGTGTGTATACTTATTTTGTGTATTAAAACTTAAACGTGATTTTAAAAACTGTCATAGTACATAACTATGTAGTATCTACAATATAATCGATGTCAAACAGAGGTCATGGCAGATTGTAAAATAAGAATATCTTGTTTGATTTATTATACATTTGCTGTTTATATTGAATATTGTAGGATGACAACTTAGATTTAAGATAGGGTTAGTACACTTAAATAAAAATAATGACGTGACTTAACGGCGCACTGGTATTTTTAATCTAATTACAACGAATTCAATATTACTAATACAATTATTTTGTACAGTACGGGGCACACACTATCGCACACACATACTGTCCGTACACTAGTCGGCGGAAGACTGACTAACTACAATACAGGCTGACACACTGATACCNACCTAAAGGAGTAGTAAAAGAGGTATATTTCTGACTCTGATCTGCTACTTTCACATGGTGAAATCCATCTTTCAAATCAATGCAAGTGTAATATTTTTTTCCTCTCAATGAATCTAAATGATCATCAATCAGTGGTAATGGGTAGCGATCTTTAACCATACGTTTATTAAGTTCTCGGTAATCTACACACAACCGAAGTTCACCATTTTTCTTTTTCACCAATACAATAGGACTACTATACTCGGAATGACTAGGTTTTATAATTTTCCTAACTAACAAATCATCTAATATTAGCTGCAATTTTTCTTTCTCAAAGAAAGACAATCTTCTTGGATTAAAATAAAATAAACTGCTATCCTTAAGTTCAATCTTAAGTTCAGGTGGGTCATACATTACAAGTTCAGTTGGAAGAGAACTATTATTCAAATAGTAACTAGTTACAATATTTTTAATTTTACTCTTAACATGACTAGGTAAAGTTTCCTCAATATTCAGGTTTAGCTCACTATTCTTACAGTCTTGACTTATTTCTATACTAAGAATCTCATCAAAAAATACAATATCTAAACGCTTAAAATCAATTTCAAAAGAACCACTATTTATAGTTAAGACTACTCTGGGATGTGATAAAAAGTTTCTACAAAGTAACAAGTCACATTTAATGGTACTATCTGGTACAATATTTATATTGACATTAATCGGATGGTCATTATATGGTGGTAGAATATCTACAAACATTTGATCTAAAATAACTAATTCTGAACCATTTATACCTACTAAACCTGATGATGCTAATGGAGGAACTTGTGGTGGTGACCATGAAGGAACTATATTTTGTCTTAGCAAACTAACAGGACTGCCAGTGTCAATGATCGCTAATACATCAACTATTTTACCACTGGGAAACTTAACATCTAACTTAATAGTATAGGCAGATTTTACATTTTCTGAGGGTGACTGAAGTACTAGAGCTTCCTTGTTGTTGGTACCTGCAGAAGGGCATCCTCGAAGCTGATGTGATGTGGAACCGCATTTGAAACAGGAACCTGGTTCACGCTTTGGTTTGGGACACGACGCAGCATAGTGACCATGTGATGAACAATTGAAGCATCTTATGGATGATGCAGATGGATTGACTGGATTAACTGAAGGCAACGGCTTACTGGTCAAAGTTGTTGAAACAGAAGTTTTGTTTACTTGAGATTTTTGAGACGATTGGAGAACAAAAGGATTCGATGGAGGCTGAGGATCAGTCTTAAAATGAGCATATCTAGCACTGTTCATTGTAGTGAAAGATAGAATGTCAGCCAGCAAAGAATCTTCATCTAAATGATCACGAGCAAGCAAAAAGAAACATAGGTCTCGACAATGGAGGCCTTCGATGATTTGCTGTTTCGTTTCAGGAAACGATAGTTTTACCTCACGACACATACGTGCTTTGTCGTGGAAGTATTCGGCTGAAGATTCATTTTTGTTTTGAATACGGGACAATAATAATTTCATACATTCTACAAGTGAGGTTGATGAATTTGCAAATGTGGAAATAAACTGCCTTTCAAAATCAGACCACGTTCTAAAGTTTCGTCCACACAGCCAGTTGCTCGCAGCCGCAACTAACTTAGTTCGAACGATTTCTAATTTGAATGCTTCGGGCCAATGATGAAGTCGAGCCACTGACTGCACTGACTGAAGCCAGTCTCTGGCTTGAGCCCTAGATTCAATGCCTGAAAAATTCTTAATGGTGTTGTGGAAGTCCGGCATAACATAGAATCCATCGGAATTGGTAGGAAAAGGAGATTCATTACGCAATGGAGTATTGTCACGTTCCAACAAGCGGTTAATCAGAAGTTGATTCTGTTGAAGAAGTGTACACAACGCACTATTGATATCAATATTCGAATTAGTGATTACCGGTGTTGGCGAAGCAGTGTCATCTGAAGATTTCTTATCTTTGGTGTTTTCGGGTATGATGGTTGGTAGCACTGTTGACTGAGAATCAGATGCTTTTGACGATTGCTGACGACCATCATCACTATCGTAACCAATATTCTCCGATCCAAAAATAACTTTACTTACTTCTTATGGCGTCATTTGTATCGGTGTGGAAACCACGTTTCCGACATCGTTTGAAACTTTTGACTCACTAGACTCGGAATGATACTCATTTTGCGAACTATTCTCCATTTTCGTTTTGAGATCTGAGGTTTTGTGGGTTGTGGCGCTTTCCGTTGATCAGTTCGAATTTGAATCCTAATGATCGAATCCCACTTCTGAAGTTGTAGGATGACAACTTAGATTTAAGATAGGGTTAGTACACTTAAATAAAAATAATGACGTGACTTAACGGCGCACTGGTCTTTTTAATCTAATTACAACGAATTCAATATTACTAATACAATTATTTTGTACAGTACGTGGCACACACTATCGCACACACATACTGTCCGTACACTAGTCGGCGGAAGACTGACTAACTACAATACAGGCTGACACACTGATACCTAGCCAGTAGCTACGTATCACAATAGCGTTAGATAAGATATTACTACAATATAATATTATGATAACTAATTAAAAACAAAAAAATAATTTGGGCAAGTGGTGTTACACTTCCAACCTCCCAAACTAACCCGTCAAAAAAGTAAGTGACTGAATAAGATAATCTAGTAGTTTTCAAACCCTGTTTGATGGAGCCCTAGGACTCCGAAATAGTGACATAGGACATCCATTGTTGTCATCGATGATGTCGTTTATTATTTATTTTAAATCAATTTTTTGTCTGTGGCACAAATGTATATAATATTTATACTTATTTTATCGAAATATTCTAGTTTGTGCTAGGGAAATCTATTAAAAGCAATTAACAAATCAAATATAAATTTATTTTGCAGGTGGAATGAAGTTTGCTGAGTTCTGTGAAAGTAAAAATGTTGAATATTTTCAAAATCTTCTGAAAAATATAGAAACTTATGATGGTGGAGAAAAAAAATGAATTTGATTTGTTTTTTAACTTATTGCTTATCATTTATAATAATAAATAGTCTAATGAAATGCAATTTATAATAATTATACCTTATACATCACATTTAAATCTTAGTTTAATTTTTCTTTAATCCGCCCTACTACATTGTAATATAATTTTCCTCTTTTGGTGTATGTAATTATATATAGTATCATTAATATTGCTATTATTAATACTATTTTTAAATATAATTTATCCTTCTTTGAAAAATTATGTATGTACTTATTGATTAGTATGCAGTGTCTATGGCAACTAATGTATTTTAGGCAGTTCCTTTCAAATTAATAACGTTGTTATAAATATTTACTTTTAATTTAAGTAGTGTAGTTCTTAAATCCTAGTAGTCGTTTGACTGTAGACAATAATTTTTAATTTTTGCAAAGCAGAGCAAATTAGTACTTTCTTGTGATCTTTGACTCGTATTTCACTTTTCTAACTCTCAATATTGAAGGAGTAATGAACGCTTATTATGATACTCTGCATCAATCTATGATTGATTTAGTTCCAAAGAGTATGTTCCGTATATCGACTTAACCATCTTGGTATTCAAAAAAATTAAAACAAACTGTAGGTTCAAACAAAAAAAGATCACGTCAGATTCAAACCGGTGATTCGCGAACGGCAAATTAATGTGGATTCTTACTGACACCGAAGAGCGAATTAGTTTACGACGGCTGTGTTAAATGTTTACACCGGACAGCCGGCGGCAGCTGATAACAACCTGGCATAATCTATATATTATTATATAATTCACAATGACAAATATTATACAAAAATAAAACAATAAACAAATATATTCGGCGATGTGTTTTGTGTGTGTTTGTGAGTGTTGTTCGGTGGCTGTGCTAAATTGCGTTCCGAGCCTCAATAATAGGTATCATAAATCATTAAAACTTAATCTATATATTTTTTTCTGAGTGCAAGAAGTAAAAATACACATAACTTTTATTATGTTATAATCCATACGGATAACATTTTTAAATCTATATATGAAACTCAAATCTAAGCATTTAAAATGTTAATGTATTATTTTCACAGAGCACACGTGATGAACATCTCTAAAACAACAGCAATGTTTTAATACCCTTCAGGAATTACATTCCAGAAACTTTAAAACAAAATATTTTTATTAGGTTAAATATAAATGTATGTTTTTACAAGATAAATAAATTTTAAATTAAAACTAACTGACTCTGCAATGCTTTGCTATTGTTGGATTTCAGTACATTTGCATATATGTTTAGGAATATGTGAAAAGTTTTATATGAATTATATCAGATATTTGGTTTGATTATTTTTTTTAGTATAATTTTATACATAAGGGTGGAATATATTTGTTTCGTTATGATGTATGATTTTTATTTTTTTGTCAACTATATCAATTTGTCTTAAGCATTAAATATTTCTGGATACACCACGTTCAGTGTCTCGTCTTCTGGGGCCAGTACAAATAGATTTCGTTTGCATGTGACACGTGACAGAGCTACGTACTATCGACCATGGAAAAAACACTGGACGGTTAAGTCTAAACCTGCAACGTTTAATATTTGATCTTGTGCCTTATTAGTGACATTGCAAAGCTTAATTTCACGGGAAATTGCAGCCGTTTGAACTGGAATTGCAAATTGGTTGGTATCGTTGGTATTCTAGGAACCAAGACCATTTCCCCCGCTCCACAGCCAGTAAGGATTATACGCTCAAGCAGGCAGTTTTTTAAAGATTTTATTTGTTATCTAGCATAATTTTGGTGGACTTAAGTTATGAAGTAAAATTATAGGATAACCTACCTTCAGAATTAATTTGTGTGGTGGAGTCCCTCTGTATCTAAAACAGTGTCTACGGAACAATACACTTTTGTTGATGCATTGAATTTTTACAGTATCATGTCATTTATTGTATTGACTTGATCATTAGTTGGTGACAATTGCCCTTCCTAGAAACCAACTTGACGTTTTAATCGAAATATTAGATAAATCTGGGTAAACATTTTCAACTAGGTCCAGCAAATTAGACATCAAAAAACATTCGCACAGCAGTTCCTCCACACCATGCGCATCGACAACGATAATTAATGTGTTATCTGTGTACTGAAATAACTCAAAAATTAAAATCATGCCATATTACAGATATAATAATCGTTGAGTGAAAACTAAAGACTAAGAACTAAAACACTGTCTTTGAAATCTTATAAAATTGCCACTGCGCAAGAGAAATCTGTGCACAAGGCGATAATTTTATGCTATTTAAGTATATACGGATGTATGGCGCAAATAAGTTTTTTATTTTATTAATCAAGTTGTATATTAAAACCTTTCCTGAATCTAGACCTATTGATTAGTGAAAACTGTACTAAAATCCGTTGGGTATTTTTTGAGTTATGCGCGTACCTGCAAAAAAGGGGGTTCTATTTTATATAGTAGTATGATGATGTACTAACATTTGTAGGAGATTCTGATTACCCATTAGTCATTACTGTCTTGATTACTCACTCCCATAACACATATCCTACTACAGTACCTTTCAATTTCATTGAATATTTATTTATTTAGTCATTCCTTCGTTCTCAATCAAACATCATTAAATCTTTTCGAGGATAAGGTATTACAAAATAAACCTGAAACATCATCAATGATTATAAATGAATGGGTTGTATTACACAATATGTGCATTGGACACAATGTCCCTCAGGTTGAAGGGACTGAAGAAGACATTGATATGGGAATTAACCAGGACCAAGGACTATTTGAAGAGCAACGAGACAACAAAAATCTGTATATTTTAATGATTGAGGAAGAGCAACGAACCAAAATAGTACACTTACTTCAAAATATAAATTTATAAATGTGTACATTTATTGGAAAATGTTGTACAAAATTAATGTTTACGATTTTTATTGAAAATCAAGTAAAAAAAAATGCAGTCAAATTCGCTTATACCGATCTTCTAAGGACCTAGCAAATCTGATCGTTATAACCGAACTTCGTTATTCCGGATCATAAAAAGTAACATGATTTTTTTGAAAAATTAATTTATTAAACAAATTTTTTACTGTTTAATTTTATATAAAATTACATATTTTAACACTCAAAGTATTTATAATTTTTAATAAAAATACATAATATACATATATTATGGTATATGTTTACGATTTGTTTGAGAAATAATCTATTATAGTGGGTTCTTTACAATTTTAATAAGATTTTTAACAAAATTAGAAATATTGTTTATTGCCATCGATACTTCTAGCGTATTTATATCACTGTTTACCGAAGCAAAAGTAAGCACACGATCAATATAAATATACATTTACGAAACAGACGGTACTTTGAACGGTACTTTGACTGTCTTTCATTTGACATTTTTAACTTATATGGAATGTGTCCAGACGAATAGCAATGAAAACGGCGATTAAGAAACGTATGCTGTTAGTGTATACAATACGGTCGGACAAGACACATTATCTGTTACAGATAAGATTAAGAATAATCACTTTGAACGAAATCAAATGTAGTACACATTTTACATAATATTATTAATCGCTATTCGCTATAGGTGATTATAAAAACCAATTTTCGTTTCAAAATAACATCGCTATATTAGGATTATCGTTATAACCGATATCGTTCTATACGAATAAAAGTACTACACTTAACATATAAAACCAACCAAATACATTGCTTGGAATCGTTAATCGTTTTACCCGAAATATCGTTACATATGGCATCGTTATAAGCGAATTTGACTGTACTTACGAACAAGGAACCCTGTTGTTTTACTTTCTTGGTGGGTAGTTTTTGACAATAATACAAAGAAGCACTCTCCCGATGATAACGATGACGTTCCATAAGAGTCTAGGACGAAATCCTGCCACCAAAATCCTGCCGGATAGGATCCCGCTGTGACAAAATCCCGCCTTAAGTGAAAAAAGTTTATTTAACTGTTTGGTAGATTTTTTTTCAAATTCCTTAGCAACTTTACCTTCACACTTAACCAGGCATAGGACGCTCAAATAATGAATTTTAACGATACTCAAAATTCATTAAATGGGGGTGTGTAAAAAGTTGATTTGGAGGTTTAAATTTCTTATTTTTATGGTTCTATATTTATTTATTATCGCAGTTCCATATAATATGGTTTTTGTAA